TATTGTCCAATTCGTAATGATGATCGGTCAGATTTAGCCACTAACGTGGCTAAATCTAACTGATCGTCATTATGAATGAATTGGACAATAATTACAATAATTTTGATATTAATCGATGCAAGGCACAATAACTTATAATTTCGGTTCTAAACTTGAGTCTTTTAATTCTTTCCATACCATCCATCATTCATCTTTTCTTATATATCAAGCGGTATATATAAGCTCAATAAATATACCCAAACATATTTTAATATAAACATTATATCGGTCCGTATTCCTACTCCACTTCTATTCGTCAGTTTAGACATCCTATTAGACCACAAGTAGGAGATATTAATTCTATTATAATTGGATTTCCATAAAATATCTCGCGAGTTGTCAGGATACTATTGACGTGTGACAATTTCATGATAGACTTTTCTTTGTGCAAATATGAACCATAACATACAGAAGTTCTCTTATTAAACTTCCACCATACATCATATAATATTTTTTTAAAATAAAAGATAAAGAAATCTTCTGTTCTAAACTGATTGAAAATAACTTGTCAGAGCTTTGTTCGTTACTTAATTCTTTGAGAGATTTGATAGTTGCTAAATTGTCTGAAAGCAGTCAGAATACTAGCGATGATTCAAGCTAGTAAAGAGTACTTAAGATGTATTAATAAAGTTAATGGCAGTTCGAAGATATTGTTTTATATAGGAATGTTAAGCGGTCCTAAGCGGTAAAGTCCCAAGAAATTTACAAAGAATTATATTTACATGTCTATTATAATGTTTTAATGAGCTACTAAATGAAAAATATATAATAAACCCTCTTGGAATCCCAGAATATCTTAAAATTTAAAATTTAAGGACTTAGGACCGGGTCCCAAGGAACGGTCTTATACTTAGCGATCCCATCAAAATTGCCAATTTTGAATATCATTTTCTCTTTTTACAAATTAATTATAAAAATTTTATGCCAATTTTTTGATGGGGTTACTATTATAGATAAGTGATTAGACTTCTCTAGAGTTAGTAATCTCTTAAATTGTAATGACCGGTTAAGGACCGCTTAACATTCCTAGTTTTATATTTCAGTTCAGATAAACAGAGCTCGCTAGTTTTTACTCACTCTGAGATGCTACCAAAATCTTAATAAATAAACTTCTCCAAACAATATGAGTTGTTTTGCCGACGAACAGATAATGAGCTTATTATATGAATGTTAGTTGCCTGGCAAAACTCTCGGGTTTGACGGATTCATTGGCAAAACTGTAATAAAATCTTATTGGCAAACTGTTGAAACTCGAAACCATAATAAAATCCCGTCAAAAGTCAAAACTATATTATATACTTATTAACAAATTCGTCGAAATATAGGGTTTCGGCTTTGCATTTTGCTAAAATGAGTTTTGCCAGGCAACTATAGCAATAGATCGGTCATGATAATTGTTTAAACTTATACTTATCATGTGGCCTTCGGCGACCTATCATTCAAATAAGATTCCGTAACCACAAAACAAGAGAAAAAAAGTGTTACTTCAAATATCGAACGATACACTTCTAAATAGTTATAAGGCGTTAATCATTTAAAGGAAATTGTCTCAATGATTTTTTGTTCATAGGGCTCATGAAAAATTTTGCAGAATATTGTTGCGATGTGGAATTCATTTCATCACATGAATATAATTTAAAAGAAAATGATGCAATTTTTAAATTTTACAAATGTATAGATTTATCTAGACCACAAGAAATTGTAATCAAAGGAACGAAAACGTTATGTCAACAAAGGAATTGAAATGTTTAACCGTTACTTAGCTGTTATAAAACGAGTTTTAAATATTTATCAAATGTATCTTTTATAAAAACGTTTCCGGTAGAAGTTAATGCCGGAGGAAATTAAATGATCGTCAAAAATAATATAAATTTTACCGTGAAATTTTATAAATGTTGCATCATGATTTACCGAGTGCATTTTTTTTTTTCATAATTTATCCAATTAAAAAAAATAAAAATACAAATGAGTGGTTTGAAGAATATATTTCAAGAAATGGTATCAAATGCTACGAACACAGACATTTTAGCAATTTTGAAGAGATTGGTGAAGGCAGACTTTGGACAAGTTTACCGTGCAAATTGGAAAAGTTCAAAGCAATACCTCGCATTGAAATTATTACATTACTTTAACAATGCCACTGTTAAAGAACTTGTTCGTGAGGTGATTACAAATGCAATACGTATTGTATTTCATTTCATTCTATTTTCAAAATCTTTATTTATCAAAATAAAATTTATAATTTAGCTTGAATTTCAACGGGAAGTTGATTTTCATTGTAATATCATTCGCTTTTTGGGGATTACAGCATCAAACCAAGGTATAACATCTTAAATCTTAAATATAATAATAAAAGAATACGTATTTCCTTTTACATTTGAAATTTTTAACTCATTTATATACTTTTAAAAACTAAAAAAAAAATTAGAAAACCAATTGAAAAAATATTGGTTAGTAATGGAATATGCTGATGAAGTTGCACTTAAAAAATATTTGAAGGACAACTTTGATAAACTTTCTTGGGGAGACAAATACAACTTGGCATTCCAGTTGGCTAGTGCTGTGTCGTGTTTACATGACGAAGGAATTGT